CACCCCCCCCAACAACAGCAACATTGAAAAAAAAAGCAAGAAAAAAAGCACCCTTTTTCATCGTTTTCTAAAAAAATAAAATAAAACAACGACAAAACAATACAGGGAGTGAAGGAGTGAGGAAGTGGTGGAGAGAAACGGTGAAGGAGTAAGGGAATGGGGAAGAGAAGGAACTAAAGGAGAAGGAGTGAGGGAGTGAAAAAATGAAGGAGTAAGGGAGGGAGGGAATGAGGGTAGTGAAGGAGCGAGGGAGTCCAGCCATAGCTTCTCTATCGCTCGCGACACTCCAGGGAAATCTTTATCTCCTCAATTCTGGAACATTTTCTTATACCATTTTTGCTCCTTTGCAAATGATTTATAGCGAGATATGTCGGACAAGAACAGCCAGCTATTCGACCAAAGAAAAAGCATAACATCCTTTTTAAAAGATAATGAAAAAGAAATAGCGGGGCGGAGAGTATAAAAAATTAATGTTCTAATAATGGCACACGGAGTGAAATTCTGTCTGCCTTTGTATCTTTCTTTCTATATGTGGATATTTTAATATGGATATGTGTGAGTGTGTGTGTTTGTCTGTGTGAGTGTGTGTGCAAAAGGGAGAGAGAGAGAGAGAGTGAGAGAGAGAGAGAGAGAGAGAGAGAGACAGAGAGAGACAGAGAGAGAGAAAACAAAAATGAGTGAACGGACTGGAACATTACAACAATTTTTTTCCAGTAAAACAGCAAGATTTTGTTCAGATATAAACAATGTAATCAGACACTGTGAATAAAAATTCTTGAATACACAGCTCACAGTGAAGGCGGTGCGGTACACTTGTATTTCTTTTATTCTTCCTAGACAACAACATTAGAAATCCTACTGCCTCTCACATAAAATAAAGTTTTATAAACATTCTTATTCTTACTCCACACACACAGAACACTTTAAAAAAAAAATTAAAATCAAAACAAAAGAAGCTGAATCTGCAATCTACAGTAAGGCAAGGCAAAGCAACAGAACAATGCAGCAGAAAATCTTCGCCAGTCTCTGCATTTGAGGAAAACTGGGCACCAACAGCAAGAATCACATTAATTTTTCACTATTTAGGAATAATAAACAAGTGTCATAAGCGCACAGAGAGGTGTCACAAACCATACAGAGACCTTGGTAGGATGAACCAAAGACATGTCTCCTCAATTTTACTGTTAGGAAGCATTCTCAATACCGGAAACCTACACTCGATGAAAATATACATATAATATGACATGTTACACTATTTTGGGCAACCTCAAACTTTAACACTTTCATAACCCTATTTCTAAATTTGAAAGACTGATGACAGCAAGGCAATGATTCTCCCAACAGGACAAGATGTTTTCACTACTTCTGTAAAACCCTGATCTAAATTCATGTCACGCTGGTCAGAAAAAGAGACAGACCAGCTGGATTCCCCAAACTCTGAACAAAAACAAACAAGCACAGATTAAATGATCATGAGATTCCACTGTATGACAAATTTAATATTCTATCTCTTCTTTATCCTAAAGAATGCCCTTTGACCTTCTCACTTTGGCTGATTACTTCTGTTGCTGAACCAAAAAGAAAGGACCCCCCCCAAAAAAAAAAGAAAAAGAAAAAAAAAGAAACAAACCTCAAAAACAAAAAACAAAATAAAAAACAATAACATGCCCCCACCCCCCCAATTGATTCCAATAACCTCTACAATTTTTTTTAGTACACCCCAGGTCTCTTAAAAGCTTGTTGGCAGCATTTCTTGTTTAAAAAGTTTATGAAGTCAGAAGTGAATGTTTCGCTTTAACAGCTCATGGTGTTGTAGTTGGTGGTTTACATGCATTGATACATACCATGTAAAAATTCAATTTACGTGTTAGCATGTGACCATAACTCAGACCTTGTCCATAGCAGCCACAAGTCTATAACAATCACTTTTTTTTGTGACCTTCGGTGACTTACAGGCCTTAAATAACGTGAACCTATCAAACGTTTTTTTGTTGTTGCTATCTTCCAGTACATAAAATCTCTTTTTTTAAAGTCAAAGTTAAACACACATCTGACACATTAAATTCAGCCCTTTCGCAGTATATTTCTTAGTTAAGTCTAACCACAAGACACAGACGAACTGACCAACAAAACTGCACAAAACAGAATTTTCCTCAATGTATTAGAGGTACATTTTCTAGCATCAGTGAAACCCTTTGCCATGATGTCATATATATATAGGCAAAGGGTTTCATTGTGATATAAAATTTCTTAATCACTTCTGTGTCCACAAACGTGGAATCTAATTTAGAAATAAGTCTCAGATTGAACAAAACTCGTTACTATTGACATGATGTGCATCCCCTCTGATTGAAGACCCGCACTCTGTCACATGACTTCACAATCTCACAACCTTGGCTGGTCAGTTTATGAGTTAATTAAATCGATACCTCCATCATTTGTAGACACTAATGTGTACAATATATATATATGGCAATAGTTGTACACTGCGGTCATTCATACATTCAGTCTGGGTAGTTCAGAAAGCAAATTTACCATTTACAGCTGGGTGAATTGAGACACAGAGTAGAGAATCTCCTCTTCACCAAAGCACCTATTTTATTTGGCAAAGTGTGAAGCTATCCTCCATTGGATATTGAAGCTATTCCCACCACCAACTTTAAACGAGGGAACCCCTGGCCCTGGGGAGCAACCTAGTCAGTCACCTTACAAAAAAAGCAAACCCAACTAGTCTGGCTAGGAAAAGGTCTGGTGGGGGAAGAACAGTTCATGAAGGCCTCTGACATGGCAGGATAGAATATGACAGACATTTCAGAGTAATCATTCTACTCTTAATTGTCACTGGTCTATCCAGCCCTCTCTATTAATCTATTTTGGAATATTTTGATCAGTGAAATAAAATTATGACCCACACATTATAATGGCAGGAAAAGAAATTATAATTTAGTAATAGGCTACCCTCTCTAACTGATCAATAGTAGAACTGCCATCATCCTCCCATCCTCCACCTTTCTAACCAGTGGCATACGCCTACATTTCACGCTACTCCTGCAGTTCTTGTCCAGTACTAGTGGGCCAGTTGGCAAATACCAGTCATTTCGTCACACCGGTGCAGTCAAGACGTCACAGTCATCTTGTCACACCCCAATTCCACAAAGTTGAATGGAGGCGGTCATTTCGTAGCATTCTTGCAAACATCAAACGTGTATTGTTATAAAACAGCAGTCGCAAATCCTGATTTATGATTTTTGGGGGAGGGTTGGGGTTGTGTGTGGAGGGACGGGACGGGAGGGGGGGGCGGCAGCTGTGCGAGTCGTCGTGCCTACCTGTTCAGCCACATCGTTCATAAATACGTATGGACAATATTATATTGAAATCTATCGAGTTAGATCAACAAAGTTTTTAGGTGTTATAATGAAAGGTATATGATTGGCAAGACCATATTATTAGTCCTGTTTAAAAATAAATTAGCTAATAGAAGTGTACGGTACGTACTGCGATTTTGCTAAAAGCAAGATCCTTACATTAAAACATAAAAGCCTTAATTTTAAAACTCTTTACCAGACACTGTTTTGCCTTATTTAAAGAATATGTTCAACTATGGAACAGTTTGGATGAAGATTTAATTTACATTAATAATTAAATATGTAACAAAAAAAGGCTTTATTTAGGCTGATCCTCCAAAACTCTATTAGCATAACAATTTTGGAGAGATCTAAGATAAATATAAGCGAAATCATTTCTGTCACAATATTAATTGGGGTGTGACGAAATGACCGGCTACCTAGATTCTAGATCTAGATCTAGATCTAGATTAGACCTAGATTCTAGATCTAGAATCTAGATCTAGATTTTTAGATAGTTGGCAGAACAAGTACAAAAATTCAAAAATGCGAGGAATCACAGTTAAATTGGGCACTCGTCAAAATAATGACACAGAACTGTCTGAAGGAACCAAAATTTTTCCAAATTTCTTGGTTTTTTTAGGTTTCTAAAATAGACTAAAATACGCTTAGATTATCTAGATCTAAGTCAAGTCCAAGTGTTGTTGGTCGGCCGGCTTTCTGTGGAACTCCTCCCTTATCGGTTGAATAGTCTGTGAATTTTATGGCAACTGTGGGGAACAGGCTATGTGTGCAAATCAACAGCCAAAGTCACTAGGCCTACAGAAGTGGTCAGAAGGAGTAGGTAGGGCCCAGTAGGGGTCAGCAGATAGGTTTTTCTCTTGACTCTGTGATATTCTCGACTTGACTTAGAAATCTAGATCTAATCTAGATCTAGATCTGGTAAAAGGATACCAGCACTTTGTTAATACGTCGACTAATCTAGAGTCTAGAGTTAATTTCCTCGGTTAAAAAACTTACCAGTTGAAATTCCCGACGTCTGTCAAAAGCAGTTAAAATTCCCGAATCTTTCCACAACGTTTTCAAAGATTCAACATAATCACAAAACACAGTATCATCTAATTTCGAATTACTGTTGAAATTAAACACTTTAGTAGCGTCTTTAGTACAGGCTTCATCTCCCCACGGTATATTCAGCTTCTGTCTTGCATCTATAAGAACTCGCATTCCTTTGACAATATTATTGTAAACAACAGTTCTGAACTCGCGAACGGCTTCATCGTCGAAATCTTGTCCGTGAATAATCCGCATTTGTTTCAGAAATGTGCTTTTGCCACTTTCACCAGCGCCTAACAACAACACTCGCACAGTCCTTCTAAAAGTAAGTCTGTCTCTGTTTAGCTTCTTATCTATCTCTCTACTTCGAATTCTTTGGGTTTTTTCATGCTCACTGATACAGCAAGACATCACCATATCCGCCATTTTGGACAAATTTACTCCACCCCTGACGTCACGAAGAAAACTTCCGGTTCAGATTGAAGATACTAAAAATAGAGCAATTGAAATTTTTGGAAAACACCCGCTTTTGGCCAAAACAAAACTCAACAAATCAAAGAACAAAAAAACTGCTCTGAAGGTAAATTAGATAGGAAAACGGACAATTGTAACATCTGTTCTTTAAAAAAATACACCAATAGTAATACAAAACAGTTTTGACTTTGTGCTTATTATTATAATTTTTCCAACAGCAGCCAATCCAGTATTATTCCCAACTTGTGAAAACAAAGAGTCAAGAACGATTACTCGCAAAGTCTTCAATTTGATAGCACTGCTCACTTCGTTTGGATTTTGCATGGACAAGTTCAACAAATTTCGGGCGATGGTTGACCGTCACGATCTAGATATTAGATCTATCTTTGTGGATGAAGTGTAAAAATTGAGTACATTAAGCTTAGCACAGTAATGTTTTATAATCATATCATTATAATGATGGTAATAATAGTAATAGCCGAATAATAACTGACTGCTTCCACAAGTGACAAGATCCAACAACGTCCGTCCAACGAACGCGACAGCAGTCAACAGGCGCAGGCAAAATACGGCAAACAAGAGAACAGATTAGAGAAGAACATTTGATACCTTGAAACTGCAAGTTATCAGAGGCCAGAAAAATTGAAAGTAAGTAGATCTTTCCAAAATGAAACATTTATATTCACTAGATTAGATCTAGAAAATCTAAATTCTAGATTCGGAGTGCTTATTGGCCCACAGGGGCATATAGACTATGATTTCCGCTAGAACATGTCTTATTTGCCCACAGAATTGCGAGTTATCTCCCCTGTATTTGGTCTCCTCCTCCCCTCCCCCCCCAAATCCACAAAGTCCGTCAATCATATATTTTAAATTGAGAATGTATAGTATAGTTTTCCAATCTAGATTCTAAATCTAATGCTAAAAGGACGTCGTTATTCGGACTCGAGTCCAAATAACATTTTTTTCATATTCGGACTCGAGTCCAAATAGAAAACAATCTTATTCGGACTCGAGTCTGAAT